AAACAGGTCATAATTTCAAAGTATTTTTCTAACATAACATGATAAACGATCAAAATCTTATAGTTATGACAAATAAAAATATAACATAACATGTGTTTGAGAAGTACAGAAGTCTTCATGACTTACTCTATTGGTGCCTTTCCTTAATTTCTATTAGATTCTTCGCTTGAAAATGTTAATATAAGGGATGAGACTTAACTTTTCAATAACTATAGAAATTCTAACCTACACACGCAAACTATATATGACAAACAAAAATCCGTTTATATGTGTATATTTATATTTATGTATGAAAATCATGGATTTATACATTCAACTCAATTTTTTTTTTAAATTTAACAATATACCAACACCATCTTTCTAATATATCCAAAATAATATAATATGCGACCTCCCTTGTATCACCGTTCATCCTTATACCTCTGATTAGAGCCATAGGCTAATACATAGTTCAATAGGAACTAATCCATTTTACTAAAGTATTCCAAGCTCAACGACACTAGAAGTATATCCGGTCAAAAATATAGAGCTCAATTTCGGACTATAACTCCCCTCCTTTGCAAATAAAATAAGGAAGTGTCACATGTCCCATAACTCCAATAAATTTCTGACCAAAGGAAAACATGAAAAAAGGGGCCTTGACAAATTTCATCCACTGTGTACCAAGTGATGACGTACCACGTGGTAATTTTATATCCATACAAATATCCTTCTATCTTTAGCCTAACAGTGCATATGTCATATACAGATAATGTTATATTAAAAATACATCCTCAAATATATCATTAAAAATAAGCGAGTAATAAAATTTCTGTACTATTTAACAGCAAACCATGATAATTCCATAGCTATCAATATATTTAAATATTAATCATAATTAATAGCAATAAATATTAACAAAATCAAGTACCATATCAAAACATTTATTTGAAAAATCATAATATTATATTTCAGTATGATACAAAAATTAATAAATCCATAATATAATCATACACAATTGACATTTACATAAAAGAATTTTCATAGTTACTTATTACTCTTTACCTTACAAATAATCACATAATGATTACTCCAAAATTCTCAAAAGTCTATAAAAATTGCATATAAATATTTATTAATACAAAACCCAAAACTATTTTAAAACTACTCTAAAATTTTAAAACTACCCTCTACACTAAAATTACAAAAGTATATTAACTCTGATAATTGATATAATATTATTTTGAAAATATAATTTACATAAGACTATTTAAATTTAATAACTAAAGTCAATATTTTTTATTATCCAAAATCTAAATATTTCATATTAAAATCTCGATTATTTATTATAGTCTCATTGTAAATTTTTCTCAAATCAAACAGCTCTTTTGGATTATAAATAAACTATAACTTTATCTAATTTCATAAATTCTTAATTTACAATTTTTCAAGCCTTCAGAAATTATTTTAAAAATATATCTTTAACTTATTTAATATTCAAACAGATTAAAATCTCATTAATATATTAAATAACCCAAATAAATTATTTAATTTAAATTTAATTGGTAAAAACATTTTATATGTTTTGAATGATAAATTTTTCAACTAAAATATTAATTTAAAATTATCAAAACGATCATTAAAAAAATATAAACTAATTAAAATTCCTTAACAATGTATCTTTAAATTTTGATTGTCATATATTGTCAAAACTCTATATTTACTCCATACCCAAATGGTAAAATTTTCTCTAAATATTATAATGATACTAATAACATAAAACTCTAAATATATAAAAAAAATATTTATAAAAAATATGATTAAAAAAATATTTTTGGGTGCCTAAATGAATTTCAAATTTTAGCCTTTAGACCGTATATATTTTCACTCTCTCTTGGTTTCTGCCTCTCACTATCTCTTCCTGTTCTCTCACTCTCGTTTTCTTCCACCTCTTGTTGTCTCTTTTAAACTTATTCTTCCATCTTTCAATTCTCTCTCCTTCCATTTTCTTCATTCTTCATTTATTGTGTCTCCCCTTCTTTCATTCAATACAACTTCCCCCTCCCCATCATTTCCACCGAATTCGGTGGAAAAGATGACCTCTTTTTTTTCTTTTGTAAAAATAATAATAAATATTATTATATAGTTATTTTTTTAATTATAATTTTTTAAAGATAGTATGCTACAGGGGTGTTTGGCAAAACCAAAACCTAGGTTTCAAAATCACTTTTCCGCAAAACGAGGTAACCTCCTCCACATATTTACTTCGTAATCCGTAAAAGCACTTCTGAAACCATGGTTTGGTTTCTATCCAAACACCCCCTACAACTATCTTCACAAGTAAGGATACATTTAGAAAATAAAAATTGCCTTCTTCACACATTTATTGTTTTAATTTATTTTAGTCAACTTTGTTATCTATATAATTTAGTTAAAACATATTTAATAGGAAAAACCGGGGACAAATCCCCATTCAAAAGTTAATTGTAAAATGAGATCTGAATTTTTGAGGTCCTTTTAAAGAACTAAAAAGTAAAGAAAATTACTATAATACCCTTAATAAAATGTAATTTGAATCAGGTATATGCAAGTAGAGATTAAAGGTATGTAATTAGGATTAGCAATATACAATTAGGTTCTATATGCAACTAAACATTTGCAATATGCAATTAGGATCAAACATATATAACTGGAAATCAAATGCATATAATTAGAATCAGTGATATGTCATTAGGTCATATATACAATTAAGCATCTTAAATATATAATTAGGATCAAGCACATGGGATTTGGGATTAAGGATATGTAATTAGGTTCTATATGTAACTAGACATCCTCCATATGTAATTAGAATCAAGTATATATAACTCGAGATCAAGGATATGCAACTCAAACTATTTGGTCTTTTTACTCCTCAAGCCTATTGTCATTTAAGGTCAAGTCCCATTCTTCAATTAACTTTTCAAATAGGAATTTATCTCCAGCTTTTCTTATTTAATATTCAGTCACTCCTAAATATTCCTCTGATCCTATTTATAAGTCATTTCCAACATGTTTTACATATACCAAAGAAAGCCTTAAACTTCATTAACTCTCATTTAAAATTTAACAATTTTTCAACTTTATCCTTATTTTATATGCATTATATTTATATCCCATATAAATAAAATCAACATAATAATAAATAAAAATAAAATTGTATATCTATATAAAAAAAAATTTCTCAGTATCCTATAAATAATAAATAAATAAAAAGCAAAAAAAATTTTCACTCTATCTTATAAATAAGATCAGGCGAGTATAATCTTGTGAAAGTGGCGAAGGAATATACCGGAGGGGGGAGAAATACAGGCGTGGGTAACAAGCTACTGAAACTTGGGATCATTATGATTCTTTTCTTCACTCGCGCCATTTTCCCCCTCCCCCCCACCCCCACTTCATTCAAGGCACGTGTGGTGTGGGCCCCCCAATCTTCCGTTCCTATTTTCTCCGACACCAATATTACATTCAAGAAATTTAATTCCATTTCAATATACTTTTCTCATACTATTCATAAATCACTTTTAATATATTTCAAACCAGTTAAGAAAAATTTTAAATTTTATTTATTTTTATTTAAAATTTAATAAATTTTCAAATTTATCCTTTTAATATACATTATACATCATGTAAACAAAATCAACATAATAATAAATAAAAGTAAAATTGTACATCTATATAAAAAAAATTTCTCAATGTCTTATAAATAAGACAAAAAAATGTCTTTTATCTCTACCATATAAATAGGATCAGAGGAGTACTCTCTAATCCTATTTATAAGGTAGAGAGATAAGGTTTTTTGTCCTATTTATAAGTTATTTTATTAAATTTTCAGCGTGAATATACTATTTTATCCTTCATTTATTATAGTATAGGTAGTTATCTTTTTTGAAAGATGTATATATTAGATATGGGCAAAATTAAAAAAATATTTTATTTTAATAGAGAGTTAATGCATTTTAAATTTTTTTTTAGTTTGTGTGAAATATGTTTGAAATACCTTATAAATAAGATTAGAAGAGTATTTTACATCGCTTTCCCTCGACCTCGGCACATTTTTATCAAAAACTTCTGCGAATTTATTACCTAAATTAATATAAGCATCTAAAAAATAATTACAATATGGATATGGCAATTAACATTTACAAGTGACTAAAAGTAATAAAACAATTAAGTCCCCTATTTTGCTGGTCAATAAAAAAAAAAAAAAAGGTAAGTCCTCCATTTTCGAAGTTCAACTTCTCAGCCCATGCTTGCATTTCCTCATTAGACGAAACAAGGAATTAACAGCCCCGATCTGATATAGGGGCCAAGCCCGGCCCATTTGATGGTGACAAAAGTAAATAATTAAAAGATATGATTTTAATACTTCCTCTATCTATTTTCTTAAATATAAACAATATTTATAAGATATCTTAAATTTTTATAACAAACTTTTTATTTTATCCCCATTAATTACTTATTTTAATATTCAATATATTTTAATATCTCATTTTTCAAATCATCTTCTCTTATCATGACACATTCTCCCTCTTTCATGATCCTTTTTATTATAATAATTTTTTTATTTCTTTTTTATAATCTCTCTCCCTCATAAATAAATAAGAATATTTTTAGAAAACTTTTAATTTTTATCTATTTGTTGTTTTTAACTAACCCTTTTATTTACGTAATGGTTGCTAATGATAAGAAGCGGAGGAAGTATTTTCCAATGTAAAAATTTTTCTTTTCTTCCCAGCACCAATGTAAAATCATACATATCCTAAAAAAGTGTTAGAATAAAATCAAAACTATGATTTTAAAGATAATTTTACAATATATAAATATATAAAAAAAATTTATCTTAATATATAAAAAAATATTTCTAAAAATTACTTTTCTTAATTCCCAGACACCCTTTTAAAATGGATAAAACCAAAACCATGCCTTGGATATTGACTAGACGAAGTAAAATGTCAAAAGGCCACATGCTAAGAAACCCAAAAACAAGCAATGATTTCAACATATATATCTGTCAAAGAGAGGATTCTATTCAGTCTGCTAAAACAGTGACAAGATCAAAATTTGTGAGAATAATTGTACCTCAGGAAAAAGTAGCATTTCACCAGCCAACCAAACCAAACTAAGTCTCCATGCAATGTCACAAAACCCTACCATCTTGTCGACACAACCCCCTAATCTATTATCTATGCCCCTACAGTAACATTAACCTTAGGATTATCCTCAACCACCCCAAAACCCTCCAATATCAGATGACAGAGAAGAAAAAAGAAATCTTCACATGTCAGTCTTTTTACTGAAAGACTTTGGAGATGAACACATGGAAGATCATTATATATCGGCGGTATTATTATTATTATTATTAGTATCAGTATCATCAGTGAAATTGCTGGTTTTCTGGTTCTGCTTGCTTGAGGTTTCTTTGCATCCTGTGGCTGGGTATTTGACAGCATTAAGTTCAACTTTTCTCAGAGCAGCTTGGCCAAGATCAACCCCACAGATGTCAGAGAGCCTCACAAGATAAAGCAACACATCGGATAGCTCTTCACCAAGATGAACTTTCTCTTCTTCTTTCCAGTCTGGCAGACCCTTTGGAACCTCGCCTTTCCACTGGAATATCTCAGAAAGTTCGCCCACTTCACCCACCTGCACAATCAAATCCAGAATCTTTTCATAGTACCCAAATCTTTGATGCATTGAGGGAGAGAGAGAACGAGAGACAGAGAGAGAGACCCACCTTGTAGAATTTTCCTGGGGCCAGGAAAAGAAGAAAGCACAAGGCAAGAAGAACATAATAAATGATGGAGGAGCAAAAGTGAAATAGGAAAAGCTAGGGAACAGAGGTTCTGGGTGACTTGTGATAAGTGATAACAAACAAAAAGGAATCTGTTCGCAAAGTTGATTTTGACTATGGGTTTGGCAACTTTCGATTTTCAGAACAAGGGGAATAAGAAAAACCTTGGGAATTAAGAAAGTACTAAGCACTGTTTCTCAAATATATATTAAAAATGAAACAACTTGCGAGGAAAAGTCCACTGGCCTAAATAAAATAAATATTACAATGAGCCATACACAAGAAAACTTCAAAATCACTTACCATCTCACTCATATCAGATAAGAATCAGTTAGGTCAGGTCAATGGTAAAACACCACCAGGTGGAAAAAGTGGTAAAAAAAAACAATATATCAGTAACAAGAAGAAGGTCTCCTCCCTTTGTTTCACCAGAAATCGGCCAGAAACACAAGAAACTAAAATGGGGAACTCTCAATAGAAGTAAAACAAACAAATAAAGCGCATAAAATCAACGTGCAAGTAAAACCAGAGAGAAAGTTTCAATCTTTGTAAGGTTGGAGAAAGAAGCATACCAGAGCAAGAAGGAGGTTCCTGGGGCTGTGAAACCGTTCCCAGTCTCTCTCCTTAGCAAACTCCGCCATTTTATGCTTAAGCAGATCAAGGGTTACAGATTCAGACCCTCCTTCGGGAACACCAGTCATGTTGAAAAAGATGGAAAAATCCTTCGCGAGAAAGAGAAAGAAGAGTCGCGACGCAGAAGCACAAAAACAAACAAAGAACAGAGAAACAGAAAGGAAAGAGAAGGACTTGAGCGCGTGGACCGGAGAAGAAAAACGCGAGCAATGGAGTATATTGAAAGGTCGCTGCTTGAATATATAGACAAAATAAAAGGACCGAGAAAGGAATAAAAGAGAAGAGAAGAGAGGGAGAGAGGAGGGGGATGAATGGCGTGTTACGCACAGTCGTTTTTAGTAATTTGGTCATACAGAGAAATGGAGAGAAAGAAGTGGGTGGGGCCCGCTCGTTTGATCAGAGAGAGGTGACCGGTTACCGGGAACTGGGGGTACTGGATAGGGTCAGGAAAGGGACGTGGAGGGGGGGAGCGGGTCGTACACGTGTCGGTTTGTGGAGACCTGCGCCTTGATACTTGCTCAGTGTCGTCTGGCATTCACAGCGGCCTGTGCGCACCACTTTAACCTGTTCGAAGCTCGAACACGCAACGATCGGAAACGCATCAATATTTTTATTTTCAATACTCCCTTTTTTTTAATTATAAATTCTAAATAACTAATTAATAAATAATGAATAATTAGTTAAAAATAATAAATAAGTAAGAAATATATTTTTATTTTTAAATACAATGTTATACTAAATGAGAAAAAGAATAAAACAGAATATATAAAAAATATGATAAGAGAGATTATGATAAAAAAGAAAAAATAAATAATTAACGATAAAACTAAAAAAAATACATTATATATTAAGATAAACTCAAATTAAAACTTATAAAATGGATTATATCTTTTTTTTTAATTTGAAACTTATAAATAGGACTGTAAGAGTATATCACTATGGTTAATATTGTTGTTCATCCTTATAATTTTAATAAAATTTTGATTTTGGTTTGCATAATTTTAAAAGATAGTTTTTGAATATTGTAATTTCATAGTGAATTGGTTCTAAAATCGTTAGAAATACAAAGAGTTGAGGAATTTTTATTTTAATCCAAATAATTTTAAAGATTTTTGGTTTTAGTTATCATATTTTTAACAAGTTTTAGTTTTTTATATTTAACAGCGTTAAATTCACATCAAATGCTTCTAAAACTATAGAGACCAAAAATTATGATGGGATGTAAAATACATCTTTTCTCATCTTTCCCATTATACATAATGCATAAGATAAATGCATGCATTTGGATAAGGTTCTGTTTCACGCATACAATTCTACCATATACTGTGCGTCTTTTTCTTTCCATGGAAAATTGATTTCTCGCAAATGAGTTGTGAGTATTTGGAAAAAATTTTGACTCGATGAAAAAATAATACTACTTTTATCCTTAATATAAAAGTTAATTTAACATTTAATTTAGTTTTAAATATAAGAGCTCAATCCACTTTATCTCTAATATTTATTTTTTTCCAAAATAATCCTTGTAATAGGTAGCTAGTTATACATATTAAAAGTTTCATAGCTAATAAGGATATTCTAAGAAAAATAACACATTTTATTACAAATAATTAATTTAATAAATTTTTTTAATCTATTCAAATTAATCAATTAACTCTTATATTAAGAACAGTGTTACATTGAAACCGTCTCACCCTAAAAGTTTAAAAACATTAATTGTTAGCATTAATTAATTTTGTAACAATAAATGTTAGATTTGATATTACTCTTTTCTTTAATACTTTTGTAGTGACATTGAGATTATTATAAAAAAAAAATTCAGCCACCAATAGCTCCTTTACAAACACCTCTATCGTCTTATTTATAAGTTACTTTTAATATGTTTCATATAAATCAAGAAAAATCTTAAACTCTATTGACTCTCATTTAAAATTTAACAACTTTTTGACTTTATTCCTTTTTAATATACATCATACCTTATGTAAATAAAATTAACACAACAATAAATAAAATGTAAAATTGCACATCCATATGAAAAATTTCTCTCAATACCCTATGAATAAGACAAAAAAAGTCTTTTCTCTTTGCCATATGAATAGGACCAAAGGAGTACATACTTTGGGAACCAAATATAATACTCCTATAGTTTTTAATATATAATCTAATGTTGAGTTGATTTTGATAATAAATATAAGACTTATTTATCATATTTATCAATTTTTTAAATTATCCTTATTGATATTCTCTCAACCATAATCAAGCAAGAGACGAAGAGATGATATTAAGAAAGATAATTATGGTGTTTTAGGAAAAACATATCATATTTCTTATAATTAAACTAATTTACCTAACTTTGTAAATATAATCAAATTAGTTAAATAAGTTTTATATTAAGAACCGAAAGAATAAAAGTTATACAAATTATTAAATGTTGTGTAATAAAATTTTTACATTATGTCAATTAAACTTCTGGAAAAAAATCATATAATTATAATTCATCAATGAAATGAATGAATCATGTTGATCAAGTAAGCTTTAAATATAAACATTTATAGAAAATAAAAATATTAGCCTAGCATAATGAGCTAGAAGAAGATTTATGTCCTTAAATTTATATATTTGAAATGCTATCTTTAACCCTGGAAAATATATACACACTAATTTTTAATCAAATTATGACAAGAGATTTTTTTTAAATTTCTTATTCTATCAATTATTTTCATCATCAAAAATTTGTTTCTTAATAATTTTTTTGGTTCTAATTTGATTAAACATACTTTAATCAGGTAAACAAAACATATTAATTAATAATTAAGAATCATGCAGCATTTTTTCAATTGTTGTCATCTTGACTTGCTTCTCTCGTTTTATTCACAGGTTAAAGAGATTATTTTTGTTTTTAAAATAAATTAATTTATTAAATTTATTATATGCATGTATAATTTTACTTTTAATTTATTATTCTTTAAACTGTACTTTTAGATATATTTATTAAATAAGGGTGCAATTAAAAAATTATTAAATTTTAAGACACGATTAATGTGCTTTGAGATCTTTCATGCTTCCACGAATCACTACCTCTAAAATATATATATATTTTGTCAGGAAATACCTGTATAAATTTATTGGAATGCTTTAGTTTAATGTAATATATTTAAATTTTAAAAGATCAATAATTTAATGTAATTAATTTGCTGAATAGTTGTTGGCAAAAAGAAATTAATTTGTCACTCTTCTGATCCTATTTATAAGACACTTCTAACATATTTTATATGAATTAAGAAAAACTTCAAAATACATTAACTCTTCGTTAAAATATAATAATTTTTCAACTTTACTCATATTAAGATATACACCTTTAAAAAAAGATAACTACCTACATCATAATAAATAAAGAATAAAATAGTATATTCACACTGAAAAATTAATGAAGTAACTTATAAATAGGAGTCAAAAAACTTTTTCTCTCTATCTTATAAATAAGATTAGATGAGTATATGACTATATCATTAATAAATAGGACTAAAAAAACTTTTTCTTTTTATTTATTAATAAATTAGAAGAATATATGACTATGGTCATTAATTACTCCACGTGCAGTTTCCCCGGGGAAAGAAGAAGAAGAAGAAATCACTACACATGCAGTCTGCCGCTTCTCTGACTCTGACCCCCTTGATTTGTTCACAAGTAGAGTTAGGTCATCTCACAAGTTGGCCTGATTTAGTCAAATGAAGTGGTTAAATAAAAATACTACCTCCATTTTAAGTATATAATATAATTATAGAAGTTATTTTTTATATTACAAATTAACTTTTTATTTAGGATAAAAAGTAGTATGTTGGTTAGCCCATGATTTTTTTTTTTTTACCGAACATGATTTTTCTATTCTTGAAATCTTGTTAGGTATAAAATGTATTAATGGGAACAAGAGGCCGCAACACACGTTTATTTATGTTTTTGGATATTCAATCATTCTTATTATAGGTTTTACTTGTTGAGTTGATTTTGATCATAAATATTAGACTTATTTTTTATATTTATTAATTTTTCTAAATTATCTTTATTGATATTTACTCAACCATAATTAAGTAAGAGAGGAAGAAACGGTGTTAAAAAAATGATTATGATATTTTAGGAAAAATATATTATATCTCTTATAATTAAACTAATTTATCTAACTTTTAAAATCTAATCAAATTAGTTAAATAAGTTTTATATTAAAGACTGAAAGAATAAATTTATACAAATTATTAAATGTTGTGTAATAAAATTGTTAAATTATGTCAATAAAACTTCTGGGAAAAAAATCATATAATTATATTTTATGTTGGATGATTTGTTACGAAAAATGTTCATTGGCAAAAAGAATTATGAAAAATATTTATTGCAACTTTTTATATTTTATAAAAATAATTTTTTTTTCTTAAGAATTCATTCATTCGAACTATAAATCATAATCAATCCCATACATATTGCTTTAATTAGATGAACATTGGAGTAAATATTATTCCAAGAATGAAAATGGTGTTTCATTTATTGCAATGGATTTTTATAAATGTCATTTAATGCATGGTGATTTGATTTGATTTGGTTGCCTGCTAAAATATCCGTTACTTTTACCCAACGAATGTATTATAAGGAGTTCATCAATGAAAATATGAAATGAATGAATCAAGTTCATCAAGTAAGCTTTAAATATTTCGGTTAAAAAAAAAAGCAAGTAAGCTTTAAATATAAACATTTATAGGAAATAAAAATATTAGCCTGGCATAATGAGCTAGAAAAAAATTTATGTCCTTAAATTTATATATTTGAAATGCTATCTTTTAACCTGGAAAATATATATACACTATTATGACGATATTTTTTTAATTTCTTATTCTATCAATTGTTTTCATCATCAAAAATTTGTTTCTTAATAATTTTTTTTTCTAATTTGATCAAACATACTTTAATCAGGTAAAAAAATATATTAATTTAGTAACTAAGAATCATGTACCATTTAATCATGCACCATTTTTTCAATTGTTGTCATCTTGACTTGCTTCTCTCCTTTATTCACAGGTTAAGGAGAATTTTGTTGTTTTTAAAATAAATTAATTTATTAAATTTATTATATGCACGTACAATTTTACTCTTACTTTACTATTCTTTAAACTGTATTTTAGATATATTTATTAAATAAGAGTGCAATTAAAAAGTTATTAAATTTTAAGACACAATTAATATGCTTTAAGAGCTTTTATGCTTCCACGAATATATTTAAACTTTAAAAGATCAACAGTTTAATGTAATTAAT